ATCACCAGGAAGGATTCCCTAGTTGGTCTGAGTGTGATCCTGCCTGGTGAGGTGGGTGACCAGTGACACGAGTTATTTTTAAAGTAAATAATTGACCACAAAGTCTACCACCACCACTAATAGTCTTCCTTCACATCAACCTGTCCAATGTGACTTCATAGACAGACAGACAGACAGACAGACTAGAGACCCTTCAACACGGTTCTAACAGTTGTATGTACGGGATAAAAGGTGAACGTCTCAGTTGTCTGCTCCTTTGACATCCGTTTCCTTTGCTCCTTCCCCCTGCTGGTCTTAGAAAGATTGTATCAAGCTTACTGTCTTGAGGGTTACAGCTTATATGGAGAGTTCCCTGACCAATGGAGAACTTGGGGAGGATCTTGTGGTATGTATAATGTTTTTAACCTTTTTTCGGGAGGGGGAGGACTTAATCTTTCCTGAATCTTCTTTAATATTAGAGATAGATATATGAACGAAGAAAATATCTTAGAGGAGACAGAACGGTGTGTGTTTCGAATATCACATACAGTATTATCAGTAAATCGCTAGCTGGGATTAGTATCAACAGTTACAAGTTCAAACTATATATTAAGACATATTGTGGTTGATATCCGCCATACAGTATGCTTACATCAGTGACTTTTCAACTCTAATGGATAACGTTAGATGAGATGCATTCTTGAAAAAAAAAATAGAACGTAAAAGTGATTATTTAAACATCAAAAGCGAATAAAGTTTTATTCTGCTTTAGAGAGGATGTATCCTTCTCCAAAATAGAGGATTGAAACTCTGTTGCTATTTGCTTTGAGTGTAAAGTGTTAAACTATCTACACTAACTGGACTAATGCTCGAGTCCCGCCCTTCACTACATCTGCATCTGACACCCGTGGGCGAGGTAGCTAGGGCCACGCAAACACACTCTTCACCCTTCATATTGCCTCACCTTGTTGACCCTTAACCTCTCTCTACCATTACTCTTTCAAAGGATTTTCCAACTTGCTTTCAAATATTACCTTAGTTATTCCTCGTCACTGTGTATAATGTCTACCCATGTCTCTCTCTCATGACGTGTAGAAGTAAACGCTATCTGATGAGAGGAAGAGGATCAGATACCATGACTAAAACCCAACCTAACCCGAGCGACGTCATATGTTACTTGACCTCCCTGACAATAGCTGACTGATAGTTCTTGCTTAGGCCCTTATAACATTATGTATACAGTAATATGCAATGATATATGTGCATCAATAAATGTGTTTTGTGTTATCTCGTGTTGTCATGTGTTTGCTGGTGTTATCATAAGCTATGTTGTGTTATTATGTGTTAGCTGTGGCGTTATCATGAGCAGGAGAATGTTTAGTTAAGGAAAGGTAATGTTTACTAGTAGGAGAATGTTTAGTCAAAGAGGTAATGCTAACTAGAATGTGAAGAACACCCAACAACGGTTAAAACCAATGTCTAGAAACACAATTTTCTTTTTAACAAACTAGAATTAGTCTGTTTTTCTTACTGTCTAAAGTCTTGAATTGTTCACTTTTGTTTAAGTTTTATTATGCTTGAGTGTTTCAGTAGTTTGTTTACCTCTTGTTCGTGATATTTATTGTGAAAAACAAATACAAAATAAAATGACGTTCTGCAGTATTCAAAAGTTGTCGATTTCCTTATAAATCTGGGATGGACTCCTTAATATTCCATAACGTATCATTAAATGGTTCTAAAGGCAATTTATTTTAGAGTTCCAATAATATGCAACCTCTCTTAATATTAAAGAAAGAATAATCGTAAGAACATTATAAATATCTTTTGAGATTTTCTGTATTCATAATTGTGTGTCGTATTCATGGAAGGTTTTTGCTTATACTGTGTAAAGTTAAAGCTACTGAGTGGATGAACCCGTGTACATAATAATTATAGTCAGAAAGTGGAGCTCGTCATGGCATTTCAAACTTGTTAATGTTTTCCTTTTGATGCTTGTAATTCTGGGGCAAAACTTGTTATTCGTGTGTCAGAGTTACCAGAGCCATCATGTAACACTGTTGTTGTTATAATGTTATTACTGCACTTCAACAACAAAGGTCTTTAAGCACGTCACAGGTTAGTCAATACACTCGTACATCAACAATTAAAAAACTTAATGAGAGATAAAACTGTGTGGCTTAAGCTCGGAAGAACTCTGATGTAATGCACTTTCTGTAGATTCGTCTATGAAGGTTAAGTACACAATAACATGATTGATTCTAACTAAGACTGCCTGTGGTCTTGTTCTCTCTGATGTTGGGTCTACTTCCTCCCTTATGTGTGGTCTTGTTCTCCCTGATGTTGGACCTACTTCCTCCCTCCTTATGATTTTGTTCACCCTGATGTTAGACCTACTCCCTCCCTCCTGTGTGATCTTGTTCTCCCTGATGCGTGTTCTGTTGAGTCTGACGCCCTTTGGACGTAATTAATTAATTAACTAAAATATAAAAGCCACGACGGTTTTAGTAAAGTTTGTCCTATAACTATTTTGTACATTTGTACTGGTGTCCCAACCTTGTTCCGTGAACCCTTCCCAGGTCATGCCCTCTCACCTAGACCTTCAAGTGGGACTGGTACCACCATCTTGCTTCATGGGCGAGGCTAACCAGAGATGATCACTCGGGTGGTAGAGTATTATTTTCTCACAAGGAAGGATTCGGCCACCACGATAAGGTTGTGTTCAAGAGAGAGACTGAAGATGCACCCAACCTACTACTATGTTATGGGCCTTCATAGCTCAGTGGCTAGAGCGCTGGTCTAGTAAACCAGAGGCCGGGAGTTCGATCCTCCCTGAAGGCAATGTGTGATGTTTTATAGGTAGGCAGGTAATCTTTGGACATCACGATTAACCTAACCAGTGAGTATAATGGCCGTGCGGTAATGGTGATGATTAGAGCAGCAAGGTTCACTCATCACTCTCAACTTATATATGCACTACATAGTATAAGTACAACTTCCCCTTCACACTAATTACAGAGCGCCGTGTCAATTATCTTCGCATTTTCAGTTGAGCCAAGAGTCCAATTTAAGCCACAGTAAAAGAAACAAACATGTTTTTGTTGACGTACGACGCCTCCCCTCCCTCTGGTGTGAAGGGGAGGAAGTGACGGTGGTGGGGACGTACCATATCTGTATAAACAGCTGTTGGTCTTCATCAGCCGCGTCACTTTTTTCATCTTAAGGATTCGATAAATATGACCAGACTTGTGGCCTACTTCCTGACACCTCTCAATAAGTCCTCGAGTGTATTGTTCCAACTATTACCTGCTGCCCGAGGATGTTATTTACCTGTCTTTGTATTTCGTTAAGAATGGTTACCCTGCTGATCTGATCTTCAAAATTCTCGATAAATTTATCAATATATTTTAACGAAAACTCAAGACCTTGACTGTCCTTAGAGATATTTCTTTATGGTCGTTCCTGGTGGTCTAGTTTAACACAATGTTCCGGAATACTGTGTTGTGTGTCTTATCACGTGTTGGTGTTGTAATGTACTACACGTGGCAGTACCTCACGTGTTGTAATGTACTACACGTGGCAGTACCTCACGTGTTGTAATGTACTACACGTGGCAGTACCTCACGTGTTGTAATGTACTACACGTGGTAGTACCTCACGTGTTGTAATGTACTACACGTGGCAGTACCTCACGTGTTGTAATGTACTACACGTGGCAGTACCTCACGTGTTGTAATGCACTACACGTGGCAGTACCTCACGTGTTGTAATGTACTACACGTGGCAATATCTCACGTGTTGTAACGTACTACACGTGGCAGTACCTCAAGTGCTCAACAACATAGTATTAGTAAACACAGGTAGATGAACGCTTACCGTCTTTCTCCTCGCTAAGTTGTGGTCACACTGCAAAAGGACCTCCTGCTCTCCCGCCGAGACTTGAGGTTCTGACCTCCTCTGCCTGAAGCCTCAACCGCGTCACCTCCGAGTACAACTTTACACACAGTAACAACCATTTGGGTGGTTCGCCCATGACGTGTTCTTAGTAAAAGTTCATTACTTTTATGTTAATTCTTTATATTTTCATTTCCATTTTCATTAAATTTGTAAGATTTTATTTATGTTGTTGGCAGATAAGTCGTGAGCGGTGTGTGGATCTCTTGTGCTGAGCATATTATCTTATTTAACTGTTACTAGAGAGCAGAGACAAATAGATAGTGAGAGGAGACGAGAGAGAAAAGGAGACATAGATTAATACAGAATTAGTAAGACAGAATATTAAAAAGAAACAGACAGATATATGAATGTATAGATAAAGACAAACAGACAGACACACTAGTAATTGTTTGTGTCTCTGGTCCTCCCTCTCACCAAGTCATGACACACACACAGGGCCGATAGAGCCATCACAATAACAGGTGTGGAGAGATTTAGTGATTATTACACAAGGAACAGACAGATGGAGTCTTCATTCATCCAGCTTCTTGTTCATGTTGTTATATGTTCTTGTTATTTCAGGTTTGATGGTAGGTGATCATTAGGGCTATTGTAGGATGGTGTGAGCAAAATGGACATACACACACACACACACACACATTGTATATACATAGTTACATAATGGATAAAGTAATTCCAGGTCAGCTTATCATTTCATTAAACAGTATCAGTGGTTGTTGGTTTGTATACGGCAGGAGGATGGCGTATTGGTGGTTCTCGTCAGGTGGTGGTGATGGAGGTGCCCTTGGTGGGTTGAAGGGTTCTATAACTGGTGTGACTTTGCGTGCAGGTGTGTGTGTGTGGGAGGCGGTGCGTGTGTGTCAGGGGGGGGGGAGGTGTGTATGTGGAGGTGTGTATCAGGGGGACAGGGATGTGCTACCTCCTGACGCCATCACACAACTTTCTCTGCTGCTGTGAACATAAAAGGCTTCGCTAGTTAGCTCATCGTGTTCATTATCTCAGTACACATTGTCTGGATTCTCAATAAAAAATAACAATAAATGTATATAGTGAAAATATGTTAACAGTTAACTTGTATAACTTTATTATTTTAACTTGTATGACAAACTGTGCAGTAAGTCATTTCTCTACAACATAGTCTCACAAAAAGTTTTTAAAGAATTCATATATAGAGTGATATTGCATTCAGTATACCTCTGGGACCGTCAACATTAATATATATTCTGAAACAGCCCTGAAAACACAACATTCACTTTGCTACAACTTGTTTTGTTGATATTGTGTGATCCAACGGGAACTTCTACTTCAGCACTGGGCCAATACAGTCCTTGTCTGTGTGGTAGGGAACACTTAATACTGTGTCGTCACTTAACTAAACGATCAGCTGTAGACAGTAAGTGGTTATATGAAGCGGCTGGCTGCCTTTCAGACCTCAGAGATTCATTCCAAAAAAACCCGTTTAGAAATACTTAAGCTTATGAGTCTAAGTAACCAGAGGAACTCACAAAGACAAATGTAAACAATAAACAACCCAAATGTAAAAGAAAGACCACTTAATAAAAATATTCTTTATTCCTTGCTTGCTTGACATTCCCAGCCACTCACGAGTAACATCAGACAGAGGGAGGGTCTCCGAGGTCGTCTTGGGCCCTCCGGAGAACACCGAGTTTCTCGTTGCTAGTCGAGCAGTCCATAATAGAGAGGAGGAAAGAGATGGGCAATGTTGATCTTTCTCGGGGATAAAATAGTAAGCTTACGATATGTTATATTGTCAGTAACTATTCTTAAAGTAATCTATAAGACGTATTAAGCAGTCTCACTGAAGAGGACGCAAAATGGAGCTGTCGAGGGTACATTGTGGCTCAGAACGGATGGTACCTCAAGGGTCTGCTTCACTCGGCGCTGCGTCGGACGAACCCGAATCCGGAACGGTCAATTTCGTCGAAGTTACGTTTGTACAGGTTAGCGATGTCCCTGGGACCATACACTCTCTTCACGAAGCCGAAGCCGGAGCGATCAATCTCGTCGAAGTTCCTCTTCTCAGGGTAGACGTCATAATCTCCTCGCTTGTGGAAGCCGAAGCCAGAACGATCGATCTCGTCAAAGTTGCGCTTGTTGAATCCAAATCCAGATCGGTCGATCTCATCGAAGTTGCGCTTGTTGAATCCAAATCCAGATCGGTCGATCTCATCGAAGTTGCGCTTGTTGAATCCAAATCCAGATCGGTCGATCTCATCGAAGTTGCGCTTGTGGAAGCCAAAGCCTGATCGATCGATTTCGTCAAAGTTCCTCTTGTTAAACCCAAATCCTAAACGGTCCATGTCTTCTGAGCTGCGTTTGTTGTGTCCGAAGCCCGTCCTGGAAGACAAGAAGATCAAGTTCAGTCATCATCAACATAGTCATCACCATCATCACCTACGCTCATTACCACCATAAACCATACCATCATAGTCACTATCATCATCATCACTATCTTCACCATCACGCCACGCCACCATCACTGTCACCGACCATGCCTTTGGGTGCTATCATTACTCACGCTTTCCTAACAACCTGTCGTCAGCTTTGACCTGAGGGAGTGAGCCGTCAGTGAGCACCTGCCCCTCCATCACCACCAACAGAAGCTACATCAAGTACAACTAAACCCTCTACACCTCTGCTACTTCCCCGTGCCTATTAAGCTGCCTCACTAGACATGACAGGATCACAGCGCAAATTCTCAAGACACTTAGAGACTGTCAATGAGAATCTTGCACAGGGCATCACCTCATCTTTAATTATTCAACTCATCTCGTCACAATACACCAGACTCCAGCTCACGAATTCACATCTTATTGTTTTCCTTAAGTTCCCCCTCCTTTTCCTCCTCCTACTGCTCCATCTCCTTTTCATCCTCCTACTGCTCCCTCTCCTCTTCCTCCTCCTACTCTTCCTCCCCCTCCTCCTCCGCCTCCTCTTCTATTGACACTACTTGGATGATATAGCTAAGACTTTCCGAAACTTAATGCCCCCATCCTATCCCATCCCATCCCATCCCATGCCATCCCATCCCATCGTCTCTTGTTATCCCTGAATGACACAGACAGTGGCCGCCTCCACCTCCCTCTGTCCTCATCCGCAAAATTGGCGTCCGCTGTCACCAGAACAGGTCCTAGAGGGTGGGGGATGGGGGCTAATATCCCCTTACTCCTCAGCATCCTGATGTGGCCCGTCCTGAGGGTGAGGGGGAGTGAGGGGGGGAGGAAGGGAGGAGAGAGAAAACAGTGGCTTTCCTTGATCCTCTCTGATGAAAAAAGGTTCTGTAAGACACATAGTAAGTCGATCCCTCAGTGTGAACCCGCAGTATGAACCTTCAGCGTGAACCCTTAGTGTAACCTTCAGTATGAGCCCCTCAGCGTGATCCTCAGTGTAAACCCCCAGCATGAACCCTCAGTGTGAACCCTCAGTGTGAACCTTCAGTGTGACAATAAAATATACAATTCTATTTACAATTATAATCCCGATAGCCTTAAGAAAGAAGGAAGAGGAGGTAGAGGAGGAGATGGAGGAGGAAGAGGAGAAGTAGGAGGAAGAGGAGGAGGAGGCACATGTACTCCGTGTCATCCACCTGGTCTCCTACAAACACAGGTCAGGTCCCACTGAATGAAGTACACTCTATTGTTTGTGTTTGTCGAGTGTTATTACTGGATTGATGACATATTAAACTTTATTACAGTAGTGGATAATTCAGTGATGATGATCCTAACTACAAGTATAAGTAATGTAAAGTATAAATGAAAGAATATAATACAGGAGATAAAGCGTTAAAACACTTATTGTTACTCACGTGAAGGCATCGAAGCGCTTTACTGGTGCACCATCTGAAAGTAGACGAAGAATGGAAATATAAAATGAACAAGTTAGGAAGTTATTTAAATTAGTGTTAAAATATAAAGTTAGACCTTTCCCTATGACAACAAGGTTAAAGAGTGCATTTGCAAAATATTACTGAAGCACCCTCCTATAACCATTGACTGACAGGTGGTTAATGTAGGCTTTTAAAACTCCCCTTGGCTGTCTTGTCTCAGAGAATTAGGTTAGGTCCCCCTAAAACCTCTTACGTTTTCTGCGGCAACCCGACCCACTGAGGGCAAGTTAACGGCTTCAACCTTATTTGTCGCACTTAGTAAGATGACTTAAGAACATAAAAGTAATGAAATACTGTACTTCTATGATTACCAAACCTAACCTAACCTAACCATATGACATAATGTTGGAAGAAGAACGTTTTCCAAAATGCCCTCGACGCCTGGTTGTGACTTACCATAACAGGAGGTCCAGGGTGGAGGGGGAGAGGGAGGAGGGGGGGATGGGGGAAGAGAGAGTGGGGGTAGGCATTAAAGGGTGTTGAAAAGTTCATTGTTCGTTAGGTGAGTACAGGCACAAGAAAATAATAATGGTTGCCCTTCATGTAACGAGGATGGCCGGCCCAAGGGCGTGAATTTGTTAAGGTGTAGAAGCTGTCGCCAACGCAACATCCACATCCTAAGTTAACTAGTTGCATGACCCAGTGTCAAGTAATAGTCCGAGAAGACCGGACAACTCGCCAACTGCACTGGCTAACCATTACCCTGGAATACGATCCGCAAATCGATTAACATTCATGTTCCCAATTACTGCTGGGTAGACAGAGGCAAATGAGGCAAATGACGTAAAGAAACTTGCCCATAGTTTCACCCTGCCCGAACTCGGGTCCGCTCGCTTGCGAGGCGAGAATGCTGACCATAGCACCGCAGGTTTTTCATGTGTGTGTGTGTGTGTGTGTGTGTGTAACCTTACGTCTGGCAGGTCAATCGGGTGTCTCACGTTGATATTTAACGTTGATTTGATTTCTTCATGTTCACCACACGAATTGTTATTGACCCAAGCTCACCGTGTTCACTTCTCCTATGGCCTGGAGAAGGGATGGTTTCGTGGTTGTCTGTGGTATTCATTTAACACTAACTCCTGAACGAGAATCACTAATGTACAGTACACGCCTGGCCAGAGTTATTAGATGTTAAAATAATACCGTAACTGAAGGCGTGGAAACATACCTAACTGATTTACTTCAGTTATAACATAAAGATTGATGCGAAAATGGAGATTGAATTACATCAGCTTTCATTTATTTGTGTTGGTGTTAAGATGCGCTTCGCTGTGGCACTCCCCTCCTCGACACTACGACCTCACGTGTCCTGCTACTGAACTCTCGTCACTTCCCACACGTCAATCTCATCTACCGGCAATGCGTCCTTCCTCAATAATATCACTCTCCGCCGTGTTATTCAATCATTCATACAAAATGTTGCTTTCTGGGTGACAGTCACCTTCACTTCTCGCGTGGCATTCAACCCTGTGTGTCTGTCTGTGTCTCCGTCTTCCCTCTCACCCTCCTGCCACCCACCACTCACCCACGTCGGTAGGTTATATTTTTTTTTTATCCTAAATTAGTCATTTTACTTTTTTACGAGTTATCGATGACCTGGTCACTGAGGCAAGGGACTATGTTACTCGGTCTTATTCATTGCTGCTGTACTGTACCTCTCATACGTTACCTGACGCTATACAATGGTGTATCGTCGCCTGTTATCGGTGACAAAGAATAGATAACATATTCTCACTCTCCATGCTCCCTTTTCAGCACAATTATCACAACAGACACTAACACACGTACTTACAGGTTAACAACAATGAACAACACAGGAGAGTCTGCAAATCCACAGTTGGCGGGAGTGGCTAGGTAAACACAGTGTTGACGTAAGAAAATTGAGGGCGGAGCGTGATGCTCATCCCTCTCCCTGGGGACCAATACCAGCCCACAACACCTAAATTACTCCTCCTCCTACAACATCGTTTACAGTGACTCTGCTCTCCGTGTTTTTCCTCCGTGCTTATTTGAGGAAACATACTCAAGGACTCGTGTGTTCCTGCCTGCCATGATGGTCTCTGGTTGTCGTCAAGAGCCCGCCAGCGTCTGAGGCAACAATAACTGTGCTGGAGATTGTTGTGTACGACTCACAAAGAAGACTGCCCAGGGACCCGTTCACTCAGCCTTTCCTTACAACAAGAGAACTCGCGAGGTTATTAAGTTTCGTTATGTTATCTATTTTTCTACTGTTTTTTGCGCAGCGTTAATTAGCTGTATTAATGTTTTTCTTTTCAAATCTAAGTTTATTTATGTTGATTGAATGATAACCTTAAAGTGATTTTGTGGAAAATGAGTTCAGCTTGATGAAGAAAATGGCAATAGGCTCGTATCTCACACTAAGTATGTTTACACGGGCCGAGCACATACAGGGTTACCAGGGAGACTCGGAACTATGAGGCAGCAACGAAGTCAAAAATTTCTTTGCAGTTTGGAGAAATTTCGATGGCTTTTATGACCCTCGCCATTAATTTTAGTTCTATCAATTAAAATAGGCTGTAGACCCTTACCACCGAGGTGATCAATTAAACACGGGGAAGGGAACGAGGCGTCACTCAAAAGGATTTAACCCATTTGTCAGTCTGGTTAATGTCCCGTGTCGCAAGCCTCCTGATTAGTCTCTAACATTCCTACCCATTAAAACTGGGTCGCATATACACCGTGATAAAAACGATAGCTGACATGATGTTGAAATTGCACAGAGTAAATAAAAGATGAATTCCCAAATATACTAAAAAAAAATAAAAACAATATATATATATATTTTTTTTTTAACTTCGATTCTTCGTATATTTTTTATTCTCCGTAAATTTATACCATATAGTGATATATTTTATCCTATCAGTTTAACTGTTTTATGAACGGGTTGAGCTGACCGAAATAACTATTTTCCGCTATACCAAGCCCCAATATGAGCTATAATGAACGATGGCCACACACACACACACACACTCCCCCTCCACTTACCAAGGCCCTCAAGTACTCCATATACTCACGTTGCCTGACTCCACCTCAACAATCTATACGAAATACATAATACACCATACATACAACACACACTATACATACCGTAATGCGCCTCATACATAATATACACTATACATAATGTAATCCACTCTATACTTAAACAAGTGTTAAATTTATGTGGTCTATCTGCGCTAATTAACTTATTTTGTAAGGTAGATGAGGTTAACATTTCTAGAGTTAACGCCAACAGCTGAGGTTAACATTTCTAGAGTTAACGCCAACACCTGAGGTTAACATTTCTAGAGTTAACGCCAACAGCTGAGGTTAACATTTCTAGAGTTAACGCCAACAGCTGAGGTTAACATTTCTAGAGTTAACGCCAACACCTGAGGTTAACATTTCTAGAGTTAACACCAACAGCTGAGGTTAACATTTCTAGAGTTAACACCAACAGCTGAGGTTAACATTTCTAGAGTTAACACCAACAGCTGAGGTTAACATTTCTAGAGTTAACACCAACAGCCGAGGTTAACATTTCTAGAGTTAACGCCAACAGCTGAGGTTAACATTTCTAGAGTTAACGCCAACACCTGAGGTTAACATTTCTAGAGTTAACACCAACAGCTGAGGTTAACATTTCTAGAGTTAACACCAACAGCTGAGGTTAACATTTCTAGAGTTAACACCAACAGCCGAGGTTAACATTTCTAGAGTTAACGCCAACAGCTGAGTCGTGTCAACACTCGCGGTACAACAATACATTAATTTGTTTATACATAGGATGGATATTGTTTATGACTCCAGGTTAGGTTAGGTTAGATGAATGAATGAGAGAGAGAGAGAGAGAGAGAGAGAGAGAGAGAGAGAGAACGTTAAAGATAGTGAGAGAGAGAGAGAGAGAGAGAGAGAACGTTAAAGATAGTGAGAGAGAGAGAGAGAGAGAGAGAACGTTAAAGATAGTGTGAGAGAGAGAGAGAGAGAGAGAGAGAGGTAATATCGTCCATAAACACAGGTCACCGCCCACCTTCAGTCTCCTCATCATGGTGCTCAGATCAGCTCAGCTCTCAGACATTTATCTCCCTCTCCCCTCCTTTTTCTTCCCCTCTCTTTCCTCCACTCCCCTTCCTCTCCTCCATCTTCCCCTATCCCTGTCTCTCCCCTTCTTCCCCTTTATCCCTGCACTTCCTCTCTCCCTAACTCTCTCCCCTTCTTCCCCTCTCTCCCTCCCCTTCCTCCCGACCCTCTCCAGCTCCCCTTCCTTCCTCCCCTCTCCTTCTCTTCCTCTTTCCATCCACCTACCTCCTGTTGGCCTCATCAGTCAAGGATTACAATACATCGAATGTCAACCTTATATACAAGGAGGGAGCATAGAAGAAGGGGTAGATGGGGGAAAGGGGAGGAGCATAGGCTGATGAGTAGATGGGGGAAAGGAGGAGGAGCATAGACTGATGAAGGGGTAGATGGGGAAAGGGAGGGAGGGAGCATAGACGAGGGGTAGATGGGGGAAAGGGAGGGAGCATATGAGGGTAGATGGGGGAAAGGGGAGGGAGCATAGAAGAGGGAGTAGATGGGGGAAAGGGGAGGGAGCATAGAGAGGGGTAGATGGGGGAGAGGGAGGGAGGGAGCATAGAAGGGGGTAGATGAGAAAGGGGAGGGAGCATAGAAGAGGGGTAGAATGGGAGAAAGGGGAGGGCATAGAAGAGGGGTGGAGTAGGAGAAAGGGGAGGGAGCATAGAAGGGGGTAGATGGGGGAAAGGGGGGAGGGAGCATAGAAGAGGGGGTAGATGGGGGAAAGGGGGGAGGGAGCATAGAAGAGGGGGTAGATGGGGGAAGGGGAGAGGGGGGAGGGAGGGACAAAGAATCATTGTGATTCTTATTTAAGTCCATTTTATCTTACATTATCTCTTATTTCATCTCATTGCATTTTTTTTACAGAACTTGAGTAAACATAAAAGTAAACATTATCATAAAATTTTCTCCCTGAACTGGTCTTAACCTAACCTAACCTAACCTAACTTAACCTAACCCCGAGCACGGTCAGTTGGCTACTGTGTTTATGGACGACGTTTGTTTACATAATATTAACCTTCTCGTTATCTTCTTCTAAATAAGCTTTCTATTTTTTTTGGCTATTATCGTAGGCCTATTTTATAAAGTATTAACGTGTTTTTGTTGAATTTATGTCTATTGGAAAACTATCGTATTGGACACACGGTCAAGTTTTTGTTTTGTATTGTGGCAAAAAACAAAAACAAATAATAATACAAAGAATAAATATTTGCAGCCAAGTACGATTGAGTTAAGTGATGTAGGAGGTGGTGAAGGTAGTTGTACAGCCGAGGAAGTTGTGTTTACATGAGGACGCAGTACTGACCTGTGTAGCCTGCGGCGGCGTCTTGCTGGGGGCTGGACCTAGCGGGCGCCGCCTGGGGGAGACAAGAAAGTAAAATTAAATAAGATAACGAGAGAGAGAGAGAGAGAGAGAGAGAGAGAGAGAGAGAGAGAGAGAGAGAGAGAGCACTAAAAATGATGGCTGGTGAATAAATACAGAAAACAAGACGAAAAATATCAAAAGACAACATGAATTGATGATCATTTACTGCATTAATCTGAAAAAAAATCTAACTCATCTACTAAATCATTATCAGTCAGGTCAAGAAATGGTGACTTATCGCTGCCTACATCTGGATATAAAGACAATATGGTTTATGTTGGCATTTTACGACATAACATGATGACCTAATTTTATTTCAGATGTGTGGATATGATTTTGTATTCATCTATATATTGAGAAAGATAATGGAGATGACACTCTAGTTATGTACAGAGAATCATCCAGAAAAAATACCCAGGGTTTAAATTTATGTCCATTTAAAATAAGGATATTTATTGATGAGCCTATCTGTACTGACCCGTGGGAGACTAGAAAGTAATCAAACTCTCTCCAAAAAAAGACAAAAAACATCTTGAATTTTTGTCAAGCGGAATTATTTTGTTTACCAAAGTCAGAACAAAACGTTTTATTTTTTTTACTTTCCGAGTTTCAAAAAAAATAAAAATAAAAAAAATAAAAAATCCTCTTTCCATCAGGAGTATTCTAAGCTACAATGTTTATTTATTGTTAGTGAATAAACCTCTATTCTGGTCTTAGATCTTTGTACAAATATTATGATTTTTTTTTATAAGCAACAGGTTAGGTCAGGTCAGGTCAGGTCAGGAAATAGCCATGAGCGACTAAACACTTCATGGCAGGGCGATCCTTACTGTATGAATCCTTGGTATAAATGAACCCTTTAAACGGCTCAACAATATGAAATACTCACCAAAATTCATACATCTTCCAAATACCTTCATAGACCTACACACCTGTTTGAGTGAATGAGTGAGTGAGTGAGTGGTTGAGTGAATGAGTGAGTGAGTGAGTGAGTGAGTGAGTGGTTGAGTGAATGAGTGAGTGAGTGAGTGGGTGAGTAACTGGGCGAGTGAGTGTAAACGTGTGTGTGTGTGTAGACCTATCCTAACCTACTGTATGGTGTAGGTAAAAGCAATGGTGTAGTGTGATAGTGTACTTTAAGAGGGGTATAGTGTATTGTGCTGACGGTACAGGTGTAGTGTTGTGCTGGAAAAGTGACTGTTATGGGACGGACACACACACACACACACACACACACACACACTGGGATACAATAACAACAACAACAAGCTCTTCACCTAACAGACAGACAGACAGACAGACAGTCGACATCTCCATATTAATATCACATCTTAATCAACGTCTAACCTAACCTAACCTAACCTAACCATGTACCTCGATCATCTTGTGTATTATCCTCCCGTCACCTAATTAACTCCTCCAGGTGTATGTTGAGGTAGATGGTGTGTAGGAACCAACTAATGATATGGAAATTAGTTATTACGGTGATGGTGTTCCGTGTGGTCTGAGCTATGGATGGGTGGGTGGATGGGTGGGTGGATTGGTGGCTGGTTGGATGGTGTACCTGGTCTTGTAATTAGCCTCAAAAGGACTCACCTGGGCGGGAATTCTGTGTATTAAGCCTCTCGTGTTTGTCTTCTATATGGAGTAACTTTTCGCAGAATTCTTGTGAAAATCAATAAGAGAAAAAGGTTATCGATCCTGGTTTAGTTCATCGTCACTGAGCTATGACGTCAGAGGTAACACTAGTCAATCAGCGGATCGGACATATACTTTTTATTTGATGTCACTGGTTGGTTGAAAGCGGACTTATAGTTTCGATTTGACGTTGCTGCCTACTCTAGTCTGTGATTGGATAGCTGAAAGAGTTCGACCAATCAGCGGATATATAGTTCCTATTTGACGTCACTGCTTGCTTCAGCATATGATTGGCCAGCCGAAAGAGCTCGACCAATCAGCTGCCGATTTCTGACATCACCCCTCGGAGGATGAATTCTTCAGGTTCATCAGGAATTCATCGTGACCTTCAGGTGTACTCGGGGCTGCAGTGCTCAAAGGGCGGCCAGAGTGAACGTGCGGCGGCCAGAGTGAACGTGCAGCCAACTAGTACGACCTTGAAGCACACCAAGTGACAGAAATAGTATGACACCCACCAGAACGACTCACACCTAACACCTTAATAGTATCTAGAGAATAGAAAACCACATCAGAGCCTCATATAGGTAGATACAACCACACCTGAATTAGACAAAGTTTACACCTGAAAAATCCGAGACTTTGGGAAATATTCACACCTGGTGGACTAAACTTGTGGCACCTCGTTCATTAATTGATGTTGTCTCACCTGTAGGTACTGTACGGCAGGTAAAGAGAGAGAGAGAGAGAGAGAGAGAGAGAGAGAGAGAGAGAGAGAGAGACATCATCGAGACACCTTTATTTCACTCCCACTTTCTCACTGCTATTAGATAAACAATACAAGACTTGTTTGTTGGTCAGGCTGTGAGGTGAATCATGTGTTTTGTTATTGTTTCAAGCGGCGGAGTTCGACCTGAGTTTGAACTGATGTGTAAGTGTTCATTGTTCATACAGCTAGTTGACAAGTTGTGTAGTATTGTACCATAGTTCGTGTTGCTAGTTGACAAGTTGTGTAGTACTGTAGTATTGTACCATAGTTCGTGTTGCTAGTTGACAAGTTGTGTAGTATTGTACCATAGTTCGTGTTGCTAGTTGACAAGTTGTTCAAAGTGTTCACGGTTCATACAATTAGATGATTAAGTGTTTGTTTCGTTTAGATTTAACTCGGAAAACACTCCTCCCTCACGCTACCTTCTCTCACCTCTCTCTTCCCTCACCAACACTCATTCTCCCCCTTCCTCCCCATTCCTTCTTCTCTCCTCCTCACTCTATCACTCTCCTCCTTCCTCCCCATTCCTTCTTCTCTCCTCCTCACTTTATCACTCTCCCCCTTCCTCCCCATTCCTTCTTTTCTCCTCCTCACTCCACCATTCTCCCTCTTCCTCCCCACTCCTTCTTCTCTCCTCCTCACCCCATCACTCTCCCTCTTCCTCCCCATTCCTTCTTGTCCTTCCCTATTTCTTCTCACTACTGACTCTTTACCTCACCACTTCTCTTTCCCCTCTTCTTCTTCTTCTCCTGCTTCCTCTTCCAGTTAAACAGTCAACCACTCAACAAATCAGTCAATAAACAAGCCAGTCACTCAACCAGGTCACTCCAGTTAGTCTTTTATCCAATCAGATAATGAAGTAATCATTCATTCACTCAACCTGTCAGCCAATCGACCAGTCACCCAGTCAGACAGATAATCAACTAATCAAATATGATCAATAGCCCACTCACTCAACCTGTCAGCCAATCAACCAGTCAGTCAGTCAGACAGTCTATCAAAGGAAATATTATACGCCCATAACACTAACACGAGTTCATTCCCTTAGGTTAAATCGTAAATTTTCAGCTCAACTGGAAAAAACACGTATAAAATGAGACAAAGGATTTTAACTCGAAATTTGGTAGTGATGATGATATGCTAGGTTATTATTATTATTATTATTATTATTATTATATCATTTTTATTACTATTGCTACTTTAATTATTATCAGTATTATCATAATTAATCTATCTATTTTTTCTCATTATTTCTTTTTGTGTGAGTTTTTCTTTCTATATTTATCTATACACGGGACCATCTATACACGGGACCCAGGTATATACGCTGCCCAGGTAAGCACGAGGCCCAAATGACACAACAACGCCCAAGAATTGTTTCACGTTTTCTATTAATCCTCAACACTTTCGAGGGCAGACTCATACAACTTCAAGACGGCCACGTACAGGGGGTGGCTTTGGGGCTTTGAACTCCCACACAACAGCTTCTCTGACCTTGTCCTTGCTTGTTCAGGAAAGGTGGGAAGGAAGGGCAGAAGAAGAAATGTGAAGGTAGGAATAAGGTGAGGAGAGAAGGGATAGGAAAGGGGAGGGAGGGAAGAGGAGAAGAAGAAAGGTGGGGGTAGGAATAAGGTGAGGAGAGAATGGATACTTGGATAGGAAGGAGGTGGATGAGATAGAGAATGGAAAGGATGGAAGGTGGAGAGGTAAACAAATATAGAAGGAATAGGGAGAGGTGGGATGGAAAATGTATGGGAGAGGAGATGGGGGGAGAGAAAGAGAGAAGGAAGGAGGTATAAGGTTTTCAATGAAATAGTTGCGCACACACACACACACACACACACACACACACACACACACACACACATTCATCCAGGGAACTTATACTAATATTTGGACGCACTGACACACAAACAGACACAGACCAAGATAAATAATACAGGAGTTACTATGCTGTGTAGAGACTCGCTTACAAATCTTCAAAGGCTGAGACTCAAGACCAGGAGGCTTTTTACTTATGGGTGAGTGAGTGAATGAATGAGTGAGTCGCTGGGTATTCATGGTCAGTGAGTGAGTGTAAATGTGTGTGTAAACCTAACCTAACTTAACCTTCCATCCCAACACCCTACCTCTACACCTCAGCCGTACGAATCCCCCACAAAAATAAACAAACAAAAACAGTAAACAAAGGTGAAGGAATACGTGACAGACAAGCCCAGTACAACAACATCTTAGCCACGGGGAGCCACTGAGCCACCAGAGGCAGCCATTGTGAACACTTAAGTGGAGCCTTTTCAATGAATATTAATAAATTCAATTAATATGTTAATCATCACGTTGGGTAATGTTTATCCTCAACAGCTGTGTGTGTGTGTGTGTGTGCATGAATCGGCCAACCATTGACTCCATTAAATAAATTGTGTCTGGTTGAAAAGTTGTCGACGGAACACACACACACAGGAGAGAGAGAGAGAGAGAGAGAGAGAGAGAGAGAGAGAGAGAGGCTGCGGGTAACATCAATCATCAGTCGTGTGTGTGGGGGGGAGCTGGGAAAGGCAGAAGAAAAATAAGATCTAGCAACGATTCTA